GATTTTAATGGATCAAAGACCCAAATACCAGTTAAATCTAAGAGAATAAAACTCTTAGAAGATAGCTGGGTGTGGTGGTACCACGCCTGTAATCCTAACACTATGGAGGCTGAGGCAGTAGGATCATGAGTTCCATGCCAGCCTGGGCTACATATTGAGACCCTGTCTTAAAAACATAAATAAAAAACAAGACCCCAAAAAAGTCTTAGAAGAAAATGTAGGTGTAAATCTTCATGACCTTGGATTAAGCAAGTTTCTTAATGTACTAAAAGTACAGGTGCCAAAGGAGAAAAAAGTAATTGGATCTTACCAAAACTAAAAACTTTTGTGTGTCAAAAGACACCATTTAGAAAGGAAAAAGACAACCCACTGGATGGGAAAAACCATTTGCACATTATATGTATCTGATGATAGTGTAGTATTTAGAATATATAAAGAACTCTTCTTCAGTTCAATAATAAAAGGCAGATAACCCAATTAAAGAAAGGACAAAAGATTTGAATAGCTATTTCTCCTAAGAAGGTATACACACAGTCACAAAAACACACGAAAAGATGTTTAACATCATTATTCATTAGGGAAATGCAAATAAAAATCACAATGAGATACTGTTTTATATTCACTAGAATAACTGCAATAATAATAATAAAAACTTAGAAAATAACAAATATTGGTGGAAATGAAGAGAAGTTGGAATCCTTACACATTACTGATGGGAATGTAGAAGTGGCATAGCTGCTGTAGAAAAGTTGGCAGCTTCTCAATAAAGTTAAACATAATGACCCAATAATTCCATTCCTAGGTATCTACCAGAGAGTTTGGAAGGCTTTTTTTCTTATTTTTTAAAATTTATTTTTTTGTGGTACTGAGGCTTGAACTCAGGGCCTCATGCTTGTTAGGCAGGCACTCTATGGCTTGATCCACTCTGCCAGCTAGGCAAGCTCTTTACCACTAAGCTATGTCTACAGACCTTAAGAGTGTCCTTGGCTGTGGGTAGCATTTACCTAGCATGTTCAAGGCCCTACACACACACACACACACACACACACACACACACACACACACACACGCAAAATGATAATAATAAATTAAAAGTGAAAATGCCCTGGAAATTTTTTTTTCATTTTTTAAAAATTATATTATTGTTGTATTGGGGATATGCTGTGACGTTTACAAAAGTGCTTACAATATATATCTTAACTAAAACCACCCCCTTCATCATTCTCCTTTATTCTCCCCCATCCCTAACCCCCCCGCCCTGGAAGTTTTAGTAATGATCAGTACATCCATCTTTGCATAATGGAGGCAGTGGTGATGGTATTAAGAGCAGTTTCAGTGCAGTTAAAGTCAAATTGTCCTGAGTTAAAGTGAGAATCAGACCTGTAAGAGTACAGTCAGTGTGTTAAGACAGGTTTTGAAAAGTTCGTCTTGAAAGAAAACACAAACTTGAGGTACACAATCTGAGGAGGCTCTAGGGGTCAAGAGAGTTGCTGATTTTTGAGATGGCAGACACTGGCAATGTGTGCTTATGAAATGGTCAATTAAGAGGGAGAGACTGTTGATGGAACCGAGAGGGAGGGATAATGGCAGATGTGTCATATCCTCAGGACAGAGAAGATGATACCTAGAGAGGCTCAGGAGGATTGTCTTTAAGAGTGAGGGAGCATATAGGAGGTGAAGGACCAAGTCAGAAGGGAATGGATATCTGATTTGTGGAATTTGAAATAGCAAGCAGAGAGATATCCACATACCAATGTAGTTTCTTAAACAGTAAATTGGTCCAGAATCCTCCTTCTCCTTCTCTTCCTCTGTCTTCTCATCTTGCTGTTTCTTCTCCTTCATCTCTTTCTCTTCTTTTTCACCAAATGTAGTAAACTGGTCAATTAATGTAAGGACAGAGGAGTATCCCTTGATTTTGGCCATAGGTAGCTGATTGGTCATCTTCTGTTGAACAGCTTCTGTGGAGTCTTAATGGTAAAGATAAATGCTATGTTGCTGTGGAGTGAGCATGACTGGTTGGTGATAATGTGGAGACAGTAAGTGCAGACATTCTTTTCAAAAAGCTTCACTATGAAAAAATGTGAAAGACATTTCAGCATATTTATATACTAAATGGAGAAGGTCAGTAGAAAGGCAGAAGTTGAAGATGTAAGAAAAAGGAGATATGTGATTGACTGGACATTGTCCTTGAGATTAGCATATAGGTGAGGTATTTGAAGAATAAACATTTTATTATTTTTATTATTGTTTTTGTGTATGTGCATACAGTGATTGAATCCAGGGCCTGTGCACGCTAGGCAAGTACTCTACCACTAAGCTACATCCTCGGCCTTTTTTCTCCTCTTTTCTCTGGTAGGACTGGGGTTTGAACTCAGGACCTTGGCTTGCAAAGCAGACAGTCTACCACTTGAGCCATACCTCCAGTCCATTTTGCTCTGGTTATTTTTGGAGATAGGGTCACTCGAACTATTTGCCCAGGCTGGTCTCGAACGATGATCCTCCTGATCACAGCCTCCCAAGTAGCTACTGGTGCTGGCATCCTCAGAATTTAAAAAAATTTTTTTTTCTTTATTCATTTATTCATATGTGCATACATTGTTTGGGTCATTTCTCCCCCCTGCCCCCCTCCCTCTTCCTCCCCCCCTTCTAGGCAGTACCTGTTCCTCCCTTTTCTCCAGTTTTGTTGAAGAGAAGATATAAGCAATAATAAGAAAGATACAGCGTTTTTGCTAGTTGAGATAAGGATAGCTATACAGAGAGATTCCTAGCATTGCTTCCATGCACTGGTGTATTTCGGTTCCTCAGAATTTTTGATGAGTATTGTGTTCAGTGCAGGGACACGATCAGCTGAGATTACAGGAAAGGAGAAGATGGTTGTAGCAGAGATACTGAGTAGAAAGGGAGATTTTCAAGAAGGCCATTGAAGGGCTGGGGATGTAGCTCAGTGGCTGAGTATTTGCCTAGCATGAAAAAGGCTCTGGGTTCGATCCCCAGTACTGCAAGGGAGGGAAAAAAAAAAGTCCTTGAAAAAAAGAAGGCTATTGAAAGAAGTGAGAGGGCAAACTGAATGAGTACTTGGGAGAATTGGAATAGTACATTTTTCAGTGTTCTAGTATTATATAGCTATGTGAATGACTCTCCCTTCTCTTAGGGCTCAGCATCCTGAGTATCTGAACAGATAATTGGATTGGTCTTGCTCTGAATTTTATGGGCTAGCTTGATAGAATGAATAGGAGGAAGAGATTACAGTAGTGAGAGTGTTTGAAGTAATGGGCCATTGAGATTAGGCTGAACAGAGAACAAATGAAACCAGAAGATAGCTACCAGGATATGAAGTGGTTGTTGTTAGAAATTGCTGGTGAAATTTAAGAATTGGAGGAACAGTTCCTAGGACAATAAAAAATATAGGATCTGGCTATTGAGTAATTTTCTGAAATGGAGGCAAAGTGAAAGTTATTGGAGTTTAGGCATTAAGGGCTGTGTAAACTAGATTGTCAGAGGAGTCAACTACATAGAAAGTAAGTTGCTGAGAATGGTGGCAGAGCAGGAGGGCGGGAAGATTCTGAACCAGGTTGCAAAGGCATTAGTGAATATGAGTGCCCAGGAGGTCAGTAGATAACAGAAGCAAGAAAGGAGGTAAGAACAGAAGACATAAACCTGAGAAGAGGTACTTTTAAGTGAGGGTGACAAACATAGTGAACAAAGAATGATTTCTATAGGCTGCATTTGTTGAGTGAAAGTAGTTTGCACTCAGATTTTAATTTAGACAAGACTTACAGAGTGTTAGTAAAATTGGGTTAGGATTTAGGGTATTTGTTTACAGTGGAACAACATAAAAGGTGTCAGGGTATATAGCTGTTGGAGGTTTGTGAAGGGAGAGGGAGCATACAGAGCAGGATCCAGATAAGAGCACAACAGGAAATTAATTGTTGGAAATGAAGTTGTGGATGATTGTGACAGTACTGAAAAACCTAGTGGTCTTAGTTGATGTCAAAGTTTTGACTAATTTTGTGGAAAATGTGTTTATGCTGCAGGCTGAGATATGGGATTATGTACAAAGCGAGATAACCTCAATGTTTCCAGGTCTAAGCAATGTTTAGTATGCTGTGGCCTTTGCTCAGTGCCATAAAGCACTCTAGCATGAAGCTGTTTTAGTCTTTGATAAAGCTTAGCCCTGAGTGAAAAGGAAGGCCTAGATGGAAGCAGTTGGTGCTCATTTGAATTTTTGGCTTTGGCAGTCTTGTTTCCAAGAGGTGAGTGAGTGGGCAGCAATAACCTTGAGTCCAGATTAGGGTGAGAAATCATTGGGTCTTCAGGCCTTTCCAAAGCGTGGTGTCTGGTGGAGTTAGGTTCCATTAGAGATAGCAATGTGGTTCATGGTATCTCTCTAGACAGAAAATGATAGTAACAATATTTAACTCATTTAAGTTCTAAAGTATAACCTGAAATGCTACATATTTAACATCTGTTTTCAGAATTGGACAATGTATCAGGTCATAATGTTTCAAAAGAGTATCTGAAAATTTTATCTCTTCTGAAATGTTGGTGTTAAAACCAAAGGTTTTACTACATTTATCTTTGGCATATTTAAAATATGCTCCAGACCTACTCTTATAATACCTGGAATACTTTAAAATCAAGATGCATAGTGTCTTTTTAGGTCACTAAGAAATATTTATGTGTATGATTCTGCCATAAAACCAAAAATAATTTTGCTACCAGAAAATATGTCTGCATTACATGTTTAGCCATCTCTGCCTGTCATAAAACAATAGATAACATTGGAAAGAAATCACATTTTACAATCTTTGTAACCAGTAGACCAATTTACCTCACATTTCTTTTGCCATCTAGCACAACTTTAAATCAAAGACATGTAGTAGTAGAAGTTAAGGAAAATTTTGGAGAGCAAAACTCATCCTTTTTCTTTTTTAAAGACATTTTATTTTAGTGATGGCATTCTCTTTTGTTTCTCAGAGTTTCTTTTTTTTATTTGGCAGTATTGGAGTTTGAAGTCAGGGCTTTGTGCTTACTAGGCAGGCCCTCTTGAACCACACCACCAGCCAATAACCAAGCTTCTAGAGAGCTGTTCTATGATACCGTGCATTCCATCATCAGGTAAGTTGATGTATATTGTATCCCTCCTCCCATGGTGAGTCACAGTGATCATCAATGTACATGATATTGATAAAGGTGCTGGGAAATGGTATTACTACTGATGATGTAACAGTTACCATTTACTTTCTAAGGCTCTCTCCTTAGGCCTACACATGTGCTAATCTTAATAACCTTTATAACAACTCTGTCTTCTGTAAATCACATCTAAACTGAAATGGAAGAGCTAGGATTTAAACCCAGCTCAACGGGGCTCTCAGGCTCAATTTACTATTTGCAACCAGTAAATAATCAGATTTGACGTTAAGTCCAGTGTTCCTCAAAGTTGTTTGACCTCATCATTTTTCAGTATTTATTCAGGGATTAGTCATCCATGGAGTGTATTCTAGGGAATGCTGCCTGAACTAGCCTGTACTAGTGAGTACAGTCTTCTAAACAGCACTTGTTTTAGGATGGAACTAGTTTTTTCTAACTAGAAACCATTTTGTATTCTCTGTCAGGATGACCGTCCCTTTTAAAAGACTGACATCAATACACACTGCATTTAAGGTACTAAAACTTTTTTTTTGGTGCTGGGGATTGAATTCAGAGGCTTGTGCTTGCTTCGCAAGTGCTGTAACACTTGAGCTGTGCCTGAGCCCTTTTTTTATTTTAAGTTTATTTTTGCTTTAGTTTATTTTTTAGGTAGGGTCTCATTTTTGTCTGGGGAGGCCTCAGACCATGATCCTTCTACTTCCATTTCCAAGTAGCAGGTATTACAGGTGTGTACCACCATACCCAGCCCCTAAAATATTTTAAAATCCAAATTAGTATTTCATTCTGCTTTCTCTGCTCTGAGGTTATATTATCATAAACTTTTTTTTTTTTTTTTTTGTGGAACTGGGGTTTGAGAACACAGGGCTTCATGCTTGCAAAGCAGGCACTTTACTGCTTGAACTATACCTCCAGCCCATTTTGTTCTGGTTATTTTGGAGATGGAGTGTTTCAAACTGTTTGCCTGGGCTGGCCTTGAACCGTGATCTTCTTAGCTTCCCAAGTAGCTAGAATTATAGACGTGAGCTGACACCAGTGCCCAGCTTATCATATACTTTTATTTCTTCTTATTTTTTTTTTGGCAGTACTGGGGTTTGAACTCAGGACTTCATGCATTGCTAGGCTGATGCTCTACCACTTGAACCACTCCACCAGCCCTTATCAAAACTTTTGATGTGTAGAGATCTTAGATATGATCCAGTTCATCTCCTTTGCTATTCTTACTTAATTTTTTTGCAGATTAAGAAAACCGTAGTCATTTAGTGTTGTGCAACATTATAATAATTCACATCTGAACCTTGGCTCTGCCCTTTTAAAGCTATGTGGCCTTAGAGAAGTTACCTCTTTTCTCAAAACTTCTGTTTCTTCTTCTAAAAGACAAGGCTAGTATCTTTGCAAAGTGGTTATGAGAACTAAATGTGTCAATTCATGTAGTATCTGGCACATGGAGGATTCTCAGTGTTAATTAATCTCCCCCCCTTTTTTTTGTTGAGATAGTTTCAATTGTATACCATGAGTGAATGAATTAGAAAGTGTTTGGATAGGAAGAAACCACTTTAATGTGAAATGTCTCAGTTTCATGCTAGCATCAGCTACATTTCTGATAAAGTGGTGATGTCATGATACAGGTTGTATGGGAGTTAAAACCAGTTTCCTTCCGGCTTTCCAACTGACATTATAAGCAAAACCTGACTAAGTAAACACAGACCTATTTATTAGCTTACTTATTATTAATGTTAAACTAGCCTTGGTGCTGACTTCTATTCTTTTTGAAATTTCACTCTTGCCGTTTAAAATCTGACACACCTTCAGAAGCTTTATAGAGTGCTTAGAGGCTTAAATTGTCCTGCAGAACATGTGGAGTATCTTTCCTAAGATGGCCTTACCTGACAGTGTGTTCAAAATCTTGCATGTAGGATGGAATTTACCACAGGATGCTTGTTTGGTTTTTATAGAAATCTACATTTGGGGTTTATGGACAGTACTTGACATATATAATATAAGCATGAACAATCATTTAAAACAAAACTATACAAAGAAAATTCTACAGGGGTTTTTCAGTTTCAAAAATTATTCCCTGGGCAAATAGAAAATGGGAGCTGGGCATAGTGGTGTATGCCTGTAATCCCAGCATTCAGGAAGCTAAGGCAGGAGGATCATGAGTTCAACACTAGTCTGGGCTGCATACTAAGTTTGAGGCCAGCCTAGGCTACATAGTACAACCCTTTCTCAAAAACAAAAAATTTCATTAAAAAAATGAAAATGGCTGGTAGAATGGCTCAAGTGGTAGAGCACCTGCCTAGTAAGCATGAGGCCCTGAGTTTAAGCCCCAGTACAACCAAAAAAAGAAAATGGATTTGAGGCCAGCCTGAGCAACATTTTAAGACCCTTTAAATAAAAAAACAGGAAAAGAAAGAAGAAAGAAAATTGGGTTCATTTGAAATATACGTGGGGGGGATTTCCAATAATGTTTGAGGGGTTTCCAATGTTGTTTCAATTACCTTTTATAACCCTACTCCATTTAGGCATTTGGTAAATATTTAATGATGAGACTGGATCTCACTATGTATGTAGCTTAGTGTGTGGTCTTGAACTTGCTATGCAGCCCAAGCTGGCCTGAACTCGGAATCCTCCTGCATCTACCTTCTGAGGCTGAGATTACAGAAATGTACCACCACCCAGGCTCTGAATTTGACTTCTAATCCCAATTCTATTTCCTTGCAACTTCTGTGACATTAACAAGTTTCTCTACTCTTCAGCTTCCTTACACAAAAAAAGGGGATACCAATATTTATCTCCTAGGGTTATTGTAACAGCTCAATGTTTATAAGATAGCCAGAATATCATATGGCACATAGTAGGCATAGCTGGGGCTGCAAAGAGAGACCTTGTCTCAAAAAAGGCACATGATCGCGTGTTTCTCCCAGAAACCTCACTGCAGTCTTTATTGATGTTCTTTCTAAGCTTATTTTTTTTTCTCATTCCCTAAACATTTAGAAGCTGTATTCATTCAAGATAATACAAATGTTGGGCAATTAAATTGAAAATGTGTTCTTTTGTGGCCCACTCTTATGAGTGTTTTAGCAAAAGTGTTTTTATGTCTGACAAACTTGGTTTGAACCTCAGCTTTGCAGTGTATTGGTGGTGTGGCCTGAGGCAAGTTAACCTTTCTGTAAATGTAGTTATGAGACTAAAATGAGTAATAATATGAATAAGGCATCTTGCTTATTGTCTGGTTTGTGTAGGCCCCAAATGAAAGTTATTTAAGTTGAAACTGTTAGTCTGGTAAGTTACATGTTTAATTCGTGGACTTAGACAATCTACTCTACTTAAACGTCATTAAGAGCAGGCAGGACAGTGAATGAAACAGTGGGTCCATTTCTTTTGTAGGTGACTGAATTTGGCTTGGCCTAGTCAGGTTCAGCATAAGTGACATTTCCTATTGTATTTGAGGTAGAAGAAATTGATGGACTTGTTACTGCATTTGCATTTTTTAAAATGTTGCATTTCTGTACTAAATATTAAAACCCAACCAACCAATCAGTCAACAAAACACGGTGTCAGAAAAAGGCTCATATGTGTTACAACACACCAGGTCAGATTTGCTGTCTAGAAAGTTTTTCATCTTTGCAGATCTTGTTCTTTAGAATAAATATTTTCCTCTGTTGCACTAAAGTTTAGCACAACATTGATAAGCCAGATTTAATCAAATATTCTGCTCATTTTAAAAATCACTTGTATTGTTTAGACATTTTATAAAAGTGATTCCTACTCTGGTAGACTAAGCATTGCAAAGTTGGTGTTAACAGTTTTATAAGAATTCCTAATAAATAGAAAACCTTAAGTGTTAGGCATTATAGAAAAAGGCTGAATCTTGAAAAATGTTTATAATGTACTTATCAAATTAAAAAGTCTTTAAGTGGGTACCAGAACAATCAACGTTTATTTCAGAAGCTAACTTGCTCTGATGGATGGCAGCAACTGTTTTCTGTTCTGTGGGGTTTCTTTTATTAATTGGAAATATAGTCACATGCTATAAAAGTGTCAGGGCATTAAGTTTGTGTGAACATCATCATTATCTAATTCTAGAAACACACCATAACCATTAAGCACTCAACTGCATTCCTGCTTCCCCCAGCTCCTGGCAGCCAGTCATCTGCTTCATGCCTCAGGATTTGTCTACACTGAATGCTTCATATAAGTGGAATATATAGTATGTTGCTTCATGTCTGCCTTCTGTCACTTAGCATAATGTTTTCAAGGTTGATTAGAGTGAAATACAACATTGAAATACAAACCTACACCCTAGGAATAGTGCCAAGTTTTTATGCCACATTATAACTCCACCCACCTGCTTCTAGATGCTCAGAGTAGGCTTGGAGCTGATGGTATTTATTTTCATATGAGGGTGGTTATCTAAAAGTGTTATAGTTCCTATTTTTCTTCTTCTTGGTAAGTTTCATATTTTGTTACACAGTACACTAAAGCAGAGAACTTGAACATAACTTTTTCAACAAAAAAATTCTGGAATCAAAATTTAATTGGAGATTTGTATTTTGGTGGAGGGGTAGTCTTATAATGGGAATCTTGGATTTGAAAATGTACTTTTAAGGCAAATGAATAAAAATTATTATATAAAATAATGTTTCAATTATTTTAAATAGAAATTGATTAAAGCCTCTGGAGTAGATTTATTTGATTATAATTTAAAAATTTTGGATGCAAAATAATATTTTTCAAAGACATAAAAATATATCACTTAAAAATTGGATGGGGGCATGGCTTAAGTGGCAGAGAGCTTGACTAGCAAGCACAAAGCCCTGAGTACTAACTCTGCCTCTCTAAGATAAATTGATCTTTATTCCTTTAATGATATATTATAGAGATTGAATTGTTTACTTAGAGTGATGTAAATAAATGGACTTTTATTTTTTATATGTTTTTTGAGACAGGTCTGCTATGTCTCCTCC